CAGCCACCATCTAGTTTTTCTGGTCTCATAGTCGTATAGGCTGAGGATCACATGGTATACCAGTCCCTTGGACTAATTGTTTCTATGTGTCTTTGGTTTTCTTCATTCTTCTTTGCTCTGGATGAGGAGAGACCCATCATTGCATCTAGATGGCTGCTTGCAAGCTTTTTAGATCCCAGTTGCTACTCGCCAAAGTAGGGTGTGGAAAAATATTTTTGTATATATAGTATGTTATGCCAATTGAGCTTGATGTCCAAGTTGGAGGTTTTTGGTTGGGGTAACGTGTGTACTTCTGACACAGCTCAAGGTATAAAAGACAAAATCATGATAAGATGTTTATCTAAATAAAACTGTGTCATGGCATTTTCAGAAACTGCAGGCGCTGCAGTCCCACAGTGTGATAGAGTCCAACCTTGGGTCGCTGAGGGACGAGGAGTCAGAGGAGCGACTCAGGCAGGCACGGGAGCTCCAGGCCCTGAGGGAGAAGATGGAAATTCAGGTGAGCCAATGCGTCATGCTTTTCTTCCCAGATCTGGCCAAGAACCATGTTTCCTTCCAACAAAATCTCTTGTGTTGCTGTGTGGATTTAGGGAAGTTCTGCCAACACAGGAACACTTAGAATAGAATTCTCAGGTGAGGATGGTGATATGCATGTGTGCAATATCAGATTCCCTTGGGACTCTTTTTCAAAATATATACAGCTGTGCCTCCTATTTGACACCTTTGCCCCCATTTTGATCTTAATCCAGTTGAAAACAACTCTTAGAAAATGTAGCAGTATTTGAAGATTCTTGGGATAGATTTGAGAAGCTCTGGTGCCTCAGTGAGTAAGGTATTTGGCTGCAGCACCAGCTGCTCTGTGGGAAGAAAATGAGGCAATCTACTTTTGTAAAGATTTACAGCCTTGGAAACCCTATGGGGGTTTCTCTGAGTCAGAATTGACTGAATGGCAGTGGGTTTGGTTTTGGGAGGGATTCAGTGGTGGCAGAGAAGCAAGGAGGCTGCATCTTCTGACCTCCTGTAACTGCACAAGAGGAAGACAGAATCACATCAATAGCCCAAGGCCTATTCCCGTGAGGCTAGACATGCTGCCTCCCTCCAGCCTTTTTATCAGTCCTAGCACCAACTGTTCCTCCTGCAGCATCCACCACCTCTTTGCTGGGTTCAGTAATTCACTACAATGGCCACACAGAACTCACAGATTATGGGGTTTATTAGGGAAGCACCAGGCTACAATTCAAGTTCAGGGAAAACGTTCAGTCTCTCTCAGCCCGCCATCTTTCAGCCAACAGTCTCTCTCCCAGCAAAGCGTGTCTCTCGATGTCTCTTTCTCAGCAGCGTGTGGCTCTCAGGAGTGCAGTTCTCTCAGCAGTATGTCTTTCTCAGCCAGTAGTCAGAGAGACTTCTTCTGCCTTAGGAGGCCTCCTTTTGAGTCTGGCAGAGTGGCCAAACTAACCAATCCCAACATCAGAATTCCATACACCTGAGAAAGAGAGAGAGAGAGAGAACGAGTGAGCAAGAGCGAGTGCTAACTTCCCAGAAAATTACTTTGTGCTGCTCCCAACAGAAATACCACAGGTGGATAACTAACAATCAGGAGCTACTTGGTTGCTCATGGCTGATTCCACCATGGAGTGTACAAAGACTTATGGCTAGAAGAGCCATGTTGTTGTTAGGTGCCGTCAAGTCATTTCCGACTCATAGCAACCCCATGCACAGCTGAATGAAACACTGCCCAATCCTGCGCCAGCTCCATGATCCCTGCTATACTTGAGCCCATCATCGCAGCCACCATGTCAATCCATCTTGTTGAAGGCC